AGAGAGAGAGAGAGAGAGAGAGAGAGAGAGCTTGCAGTCCCAAGTACCATCTCTGACATTATCGTTCGCAATGATGAAGGCGATAACACACTTGCTGTGTGAACAGTAACATATAGTCATACATTTGCACATTAATGCACTGCTCCAAACAGAATTGAAGACTAAAAAAAATATTTGTTGAACCTTATATAAAAAATAAATATCTAAAAATTATAATTATTTTTTAAAGAAATTATTCTCTGTCAAGTCGGATGCTTAGAAATTTCAAGAAATTGCGAATTTGGTTAAAATTCTTAAGTTTGTTTTTATCCGTCAATGTAATTTAATATCAAATGTGGACAGAAAGAAGCTAACTTTAATATACTTCTACGTGTTAATATTATTAATAGCTCTAACTAAATAATAAAAAAACTCGTATAACGATTGCAAAGCCAATCCTTTATTTCCAAGATTATTTAGTGAAACAAATTTCCATGAAATCCTCTTAATTTCAAGCGCCCTATATATCTTGCTGTGGTCATTTTCGCTCGACTGACGGGATGAGACGCTGTGTTTACTCTACTTTAATACCATCAATGGCAAAATAAACGTATCGGCCGATCAGAGGGATTTAAGGGAAAGGTGCTTCTTATTCGGCTATATATCGAGGATATATCTCCGTCCAATTAATCCTTCCAATTAATCCTTCTGGGGTACCTAGTATCTATAGATAGAGTTTCTTAGACTCCGTGCAATTTCTAAATGTACTTGATAACTGCGAGGTAAACAGAAGAAGTTTTGTCTCTGTCTCAAAATTTGCGGAAAGTGGAAGTGCAGCATTGAAATCTGCAAAATTCTTCTTCAGTGGGATCGTCGCGTGCAGGGATCATCATCCGTCACAACTTTCCGTCGCAACTTTCCGCACTCGACGTTTCAGTAACTCAAATTAAAATCAATAAATCTCAGTAAGTTAACTAAAAGTTGGTAAGCTTCAAATAAAAGAGGATTCCGTTAGTTTGCCTGATGGCCAATTTGAAACTGAACGACGAATTGAAGTTCCATTTCGCGTTCGTCCTTTGTGATCTCGCCTCGCTTCCAGATGCAAATTATGAGTGAGGTATCAGTTAGAATCAGTTAAAATATTTTGATCACGATACTCCGTCCGTGGTCGATTGGTTCATATACTCAAGCGTCTCGATGCAGAACGTAATTCCCCACGATAGAGCTTGGGTTACGAGGCAGAAGAGATCAGAAATCCCG